AGAAAGCCCAGAGCCATGGATCTGGGATCCTACAGTTACCCATGACATTCATCCACCTTTAACAGAGGCATGCATGCTTCTAAAAGTCTCACAACAGATATGGATGGATGAATAGGAAACACATATGCACATATTTAATCTTTCCAGACTGGTATTGAAAGTGGTAAACCAAGGCACAGCCTGAATGTTCAACAAGTAAGGTATGATCCTAATAACAAATATTATTCAGCCGTTAAAATATCGCTATACCACGGGAGGGAGTGTAATCTAGCACCTGGAAGGCCGAGGCAAGAGGCAAGAATTTGATGCCATCTCAGGCTGTGTACTGAGAGAGAGGAAAGCTGGGATGGGGATGGGGAGAATACTCTGCTATGTGTTGGGGAATGTCTAGTACCAGGCACAAATGAGTTCATGAACAAAATCTCCTGAGTGGAGCTCAGTGTTAAAACAAGATACATTGTGATTGTGTAGTGATGGAATAATAGAATTAAGACTGCGAATCCATGCCAGTTCAGATAGATAATGTCCCTTGGTGGGGCTAGGGAGTGCAGCTGGTAAAGTGTTTGCTTCACAAACCTGAAGTCCAGAGTTCTGATTTTCAGAACCTGCATGCAAATGCTGGGCAGGGGTGGCTCATGGAATCCCAGAGGTATGGAGGCTCATAGAAACAAAACTATGGAGGTAAAAATGGGACGAATTTCCCAGGCAAGGAAATCGGGTCAAGGAAGGGATCACTAGAGGGAGAGAATATCGTGAGCAAAGGATGGAGGTGTACAAAGAGGAGAGCTTGTGGCCCGAGAGCAGACCGTTGTGGTCTGTGGGGCAGGAGGAAGAACTAGGAACAGCTCATTTCAGGACACTGGCAATGGGTGACCGGAGGAGTTAAGCATCTAAGCATCAACATCCTGACCTTGGCCTAGATCCTCATTTTGTTTTGCAGTCCGGGAGATGAGAGATAGCTGTGGCAAGAGGTGACGGATGAAGAACTAGAGTAGAAAGCTTCAGTTTTGAAAACTATATTCACTGGAGACCTTTGAGGTGAGGAGACCGTGTGGTGGTGGCGGTGGTGGTGGGGATTGTGGGAGAACTCGTAGTACGGGGTGTTGTGTTGGGCTTCAAAGCCAGCTGCGCAGGGCAGGTTCTCCGGAGGGTTACTAAGCAGATACCCAGCATCATTTTATTCTAAACCCAGCACCCCCACCCTGTGGATACAAGACAAAGAACCCAACTGAGTTTAAGGTCGGTATATCAGCTAAGTGGTTCAGGATCTCTTTACCACCAAAGGTTCGTGTTAATTGTCATCTCCTTAAACTCAATCTGTAACTTAGAAAATAAAAATACAATTTATTGATAAATTGTTCTCCCATTTTTATAAATCAGATAAGTGCTACTCAAAACTTCTGACCAGACCTATAATAACCAGTCCGTATTTATATTTTGAGTTGATTTTATTCCGATAAAAAGCAAAGAAGCATCAGGAGTATACACAGTCTCTATTAAAATAAATTCACAGTGTGCCGGCTTTTTGTTTGTTAATGAAAATAGTTTCAAAGCTGTAATGCTACCAGCAAAGTGATTCAGGCTCAGGGTCCTTGTTATGAACAATTTCCTGTCTGTGTTAAGACAACTGAATCCCCTAGGGAATACCTGGCGTTTTTTATTTTTCACAAGAGAGAAAGAAGTTGCTGCTAGCATCTACTAGACAGAGGTTGGGGACACTGATAAATAGTTCCCAACACTCACAATAAGAATCATTAAGGGGAGACTGGGATGGCTCAGAAATCTTCAGCATCCATGTAAACAGTGCATGCCTGTAACCCTCGGGGCTGTGGACACTGGAGGACCACTGGACCTTGCTGGTCCCCTAACCTAGCTCCCAGCTTAGTAAGAGACTCTGTCTCAAAGGAATAGGTGGAGAGTCACAGAACAGGATTCCCAAATGACCTTTTCCTTATCTTCACATGTGTATACTAGTACCCACACATACACATATACCTCAACCCATAACACACACACCTAAACCCTTAACACACACACCTAAACCTGTAACACATACACACACATGCCTAAACACATACACACACACCTAAACCCATAGCATGCATGTATTATTCACACACATGCACATACACACCTAAACCAATAACACAGACATGTATGCACACACCTAAACCCAGAATACACATGTGTACAGACACACGTGTACATACACATGAGCATACACATATACACACATGTGTGCACATACACAAATAAGTAACTATTTGGCTCAAAATGATGCAAATAGGTTGAAAACCATGATCTAGACTAAGCCTTCCACTTTGTGAGTGAAGCAAATGAGAGCACAGGGAGTGAGATGACATCTTAGTTTTTAGTTTACTACCCAGCATCTTTAAGGGTTCCAGAGACATACAAAATTCCATGCAAGACTTGAGTGGGTATTTCTTCAAAGAACCATTGCACCAATGGTCGGCAAACGAGAGAAGGGATGCAGAACAGTGTTAGTCATTAATTGAGCCCCAGTCAAAACCACAATGAGCTACCACTTCAGACTGGAAGGTGGCTCAGATTGGTGCTAACACACTTACATCCAGCTGGTGGTGCTCATCTTACACTGGTGACGTCACAGATGAATGGGCTGTCCGGAGGTAGCCCAGCCTAGTGTGGGATTCCAGTGCCTGAGCAAGACAGCCCAGGTATGCACACAGGAGATGGCCCAACATGGGAAGCTACTACTTGAGATGGCATTGCTGATCATGCCGGTGGAGGGGCCCAGGTGCAGAAAACAGATCCTTGAGGTCATGCCTTGGAACACTGTATTTTGTCCTTAGCACCTTCATATCTCTGGGCTTCATGGCGGGCATGAGGTGAGTCATGTCTTTCACCATACACTCCTGCCGCCATAAAGTTCTGTCTTACTGCAGAGGCCTAAAGGGATGGAACAAGCTGACTGTGGACTGAAATCCTGAAAGCTGTGAGCCCAAATAAAACTTCGCGCTGTGCTTTAAAAGTTTATTGCTGCCATGGTAACAGTCACAGCATCCTTGTAAATACCTTACAACCATGTTCTTTCATATCATCTTCTGCTCCCTCATACACTGCTTTTTCTATGACCTTTGCATAGAAGCACAGTTTACGCGTCAACTCAGGTCTTCTCAGGCTCATCTGGCTCCGAGATCTTGACTACAAATGGGGCAGCCACATTCTCGGCAGTGACTCAGTGTGGTCTCAAGTTCCTCCACCTGAACCTGACCCCCAGGCTCCTTCTGCCACATCCATGGCATTCCACATCTGTGGAAACTCTTCACAGGGCTTTAGAAGGCAGGAGGGGACTGATGTGCAGGCAAATAAATCCTGCAATCCCCCCACCCCAGATGTTCTCCACTGCCTATTTCCACAAAGCCTCTGCAGATATTGTCCCATCTCTCACATAACTAGGTTTGTCTCTGAAGCACCAACAGGCTCAAAACCCTATAGCATGTGTCTCCTTCTTCTCACTCAAAACCATAAACCCTATACCATATGAGTCTCCCTCCTATCGATCAAAACCACGAATCCCATAGCATATGAATCTCCTTCTTCTCCCTTGTCTTTATGCCTCATTCACCTCCCGGAGACTCTGTCTGCCAATAAAGTGTTCTCATTTAAATCCTTCTTTAGAGCAGTACTTCTCAACCTTCCAATTGCTGTGACCCTTTAAGGCAGTTCCTCATGTTGTGGTGTCCCCCCCCTCCACACACACACCATAAAATAATTTTTGTTGCTGTTTCTTTTTTTTTTCGAGACAGGGTTTCTCTGTATAGCCCAGGCTGTCCTGGAACTCCCTCTGTAGACCAGGCTGGCCTCGAACTCAGAAATCCTCCTGCCTCTGCCTCCCAAATGCTGGGATTAAAGGCGTGCACCACCACCACCCAGCCTTGTTGCTGTTTCATAACTGTAATTTTTTTCAAGTAATTATTCTTCCATTACCATGGAAAAATCGGAGCTAAGATTGCAGTCCGATCAAAATGTATCTGAGATTAGCAGCATGCTTTTTCTCATTTTTTAGATTTTTTTTATCATGTTTTGTTTTTACGTGTGCAAGTGCACCGTGGGAGGATCTGGTGCCTACAGAAGTCAAAAGAGAGAGATGGATCCCCTGCACATGAAGTTTTGGGTGGTTGTGAATCACCATGTGGGGATGGGCAAGAAGTGCTCTCCTCTGCTGAGCCAACGCCCTAGAATGTGTCGGCATACTTTAATAATATGTCAGTCTTTAGGCCTAGGCCAATCTCAAATCTCCTCACCCCCCCAAAAAAAATGTTCAGGTTTAGATCTCCCAAAAAAAAGAAAAAAAAGTACTCTTTTTACACGGGTTTCATATCACAAATGAACCGATATCTAAAATGCTGAGATTACGGGGAAATTAAATGGGATTCTGATCGATATCTTTCCATCAGAGAGATTAACCCATGACAGCGTCAGTAATTCCCCACGTTCTTATTTACAAACACTTGTAAAAGGCTGGCCTCTGGTTCTGGGAACGCTTAGACAACAGAACCAGAGGCCAGCCACCACAGTATCCTAGACACAACTTGACCTGGTTTCAATTTTTGTAAAGACCAACTTGAGTGCTTTTCACTAGCACTCACGTAGTCCATCTTTCTGAGCTTCTTTTAAAAACCGGTAAATGGACATTCTAGAAGAAAGAACAGCCCCACAAAAGGGAGCCGTGCCAGAGGTGCTCCCCAAGTGCTGGATCTATGCGACGATGAGCAGGGATCTCCAGAATCCGATCTCGTTCTCTCAGCTGAAGGACAAACTAAACCTTCATTAGCTAAGGAAATCACGTCCACTCTCCAGGGCACTTAGCTTCTTCTTGTCCGGAAGCGAAGAAATGGGGTCGCTCAATTGATTCCACTTTAAACTTGCGCAGTGGACACAAACACTCGCCTTTCCTCTGGTTGCTAAGAGGTAGCACCGCCATTTCCTCCAATCAGCAAGAGCGTCTTTGGTGGCCAATCACAGAAGCCGAGACAACGAGGCGAGAGGTGAAAGGTCACGCCGCCTTTTGGCGGCCATTTCTCTTAGCGCTGGTCGTTTCGGTGTAGCAGTAGCTGCTCCAGTCACGAGGGGCGGGCAGCGGCGGGGTCGGCGGCTACTGGGGTGCAGCGCTCGCGGGTGTTCGCGATGGTAAGGAGAATGAGCACCGCGGGGCTAGAGGACGGGGGCCCTCGCGGGCTCTGCCGCCCGCTGCGCCTTCCATTCATCCACATGAGGCGCCGCGCGGATGGCCGCCCGCTCCTTCTCCCCGTTTCAGAGGCCTTGCGGCGCGCGCATTGGAGCCCTTCCCCTCCCCAAGATCCCCAGCCGCCTTTCCCCGTTTCGTTTGTCCCAGACCCTGAGGTGTAGCTTAGTTTGGGGGCACAGGGTAGGGGTAAACTGAAGCGAGTTTTGGTTTCCTACTTAGCACGCTCCACAGTGCGCCTTCATTCCTTGATGTTGACAATCTGCCTCTGGAACAGAAAGCCTAGGCTACCCTTCCATTCATTTAATACTCTTCTTTAGGCGCCAGGAAAGTGGGGTGCTAATGCAGATCCTGCATTTTCTCAGGTGTGGTAGGTAGGCGACAGTCAAATAATAACAAAAATAAGCAATTACAAGTAGTGGTGATTGCTAAAGGAGGAAGCTGACAGGATGATCCGAGAGGCGCATTTAAAAGTGTGGAGGCGCGCTCTTCTCCAGAAGGTGGCATTTAACCAGAAATCTAAGTGACAGAGCAGTTGGAAGAGTATTTCACACACGAGCTCTAACTAGAAAGTAGGTTTCACTAGTTGGAATTGACAAGAATTAACCGCTACTTAGAAGACTGGTGGTTTTGAGATAAGCCTGGGACCTCGACGCCTCGAAATGTGAGGCTATGTCAAGGGCAGTTAAAGACCTTTGGAGCATTCCTTTAAGCTAAGATACTCCATGACTGATACGTGCTTTAAAAATAGTTGTTCCTTTGTGGATGATATATTATAGGCAGTGTAAATTGGCTGCTCATTTAGACCCTGTGCCAAGGTTCTTTCCAAGATTCTTTGGGATGATCTGTGCGTAGATTGGGATGTGGGGAGGTTGTAAATTTAAAGGGAATACTTCTTGCAGAATAAACTTGATCAGATTTCGTTAAGAGGCCCTCTCACGGATGATACTGAATTGTTTTTTATGTCTGCAGAGGTCACCTTGTACCTTTACCTGTATTCCTTTAGAGCTTGGCTAGTGACCGTGATGGAGGTACATGGTACTTTTGTTCTTTCACAGTGCTTCGGATCAACCAGTGACTTAAGCATCCTAGGCCAGTGCTCTGCCATTGTGCTACACACTTGCCCCACTCCCACCTGTCACTCAGTATTTAATTGCATAATTTATTTTTATTTTTTTGTTTCCGCCAGTGGACTCTGAAGTTGACTAAATGGGTATTTAAATTTCTCTGAGACACTCTCCGACAAGTTATAAAATGGCAGTGAATCAGCGCTTACCCTATGTTGATATCATAAAGTCTTGATTGGTCTTTCAGTAGAGAGTGGGTGGTAGAAACTGAGCTAAGCAAAAATTATTAAATACTGCTTTTGGTTTTTATCCAGAGTTTACCCCTCAATCCCAAGCCTTTTCTCAATGGACTGACAGGAAAGCCAGTGATGGTGAAACTTAAGTGGGGCATGGAGTACAAGGGCTACCTGGTCTCTGTTGACGGCTACATGAACATGCAGGTAAGCTGATGGGGGCGGGGGGCCATGGGTTAGGAGCCGGAGAGCCGGGCTTCTCCTGTGTCACCTCACTCCTCAGAGCTTTACTGTGACTGAGAACACACACAGTTAAATTGACAACAGAAAGCAGAGTCAGGATTAAAGTATGAACCAGGGCGGATGTTGAAACATGATGTTCTTAGGAGTACTTACACCAGAACACAGTCTTTGACTTTATGACGGCAGCCAAAGAGAGAAGAGCTCTGTCATTTGGTCTCTAATACCAGAAGGGAAAACTAGTTTATTACAGAAAGCAAAACTTCCAGCACTTCCTTCTTCAAAGATTTTTTTCAAGGGGAGATTTTATAAAGTGCTTTAATGAATTTTAAAGACACATCATGAAAGTAATTCACTAAAAGCATTTTTCCGTAGAACAGACAGATCAAACGAAGGAACTGATGATTGACTATGCCTCTTACTTAGTTTCTTTAAAGGATTCAGCCAGTCTTTTTCTTTGTAATAAAAGATAGCCTAAAATGTGTCTGTGTAGACGGTTAGCACTATACTGCAGTGGTATTAGTACTCACAAGTGGAACTCTGTACCCATTAAGTAATTCCCTGTTACCTGAACCACCTTTAACCAGTTCCATACTTAAGAGTGGCCTGTCTCTCTGATTCATCTATTCTTGGTACCTCATGTAAGTGAAGTGTGTTACAGATTCAGCCGACTTCAGATCAAACATTCTTAAGAGAAATTATGTCTATGCTCAAGATATATAATCCTTTTGTTTTCTCTACTGTACAGGGTTATGATTAGTTAGAAATTAGGTGAAGGATATTAGGTTATGTGCAGATACTCAGCTATTTGAGACAGGGAGCTCCTACCCGTGGTCCTCTGAGAGGCCCTGGAACAAACCCCAGTGAATAATTGGGATAGGCTTTTTGTCCTTTTGTCTGGTTTGATTATAACTTGACGATTCATTGATATTATAAAGTATCAGAAGTTATTGCTGTTTTATTATTGCTTGAATAATATCCTGTTACATGGCTATAATGCATTTTAGTCTGTTAAGGTTTTTTATTTTATTATTTTTTTTAACATTATTTTATGTATGTGAGTACACTGTCACTCTCTTTAGACACCAGAAGAGGGCATCGGATTCCATTACAATTCCATCGGAATTGAACTAGGAGCCTGTAGAAGAACAGTCAGTGCTAGTGTTCTTAACTGCTGAGCCATCTTTCCAGCTCCTGTGTGTCCAGTTTCTTAATTTCTAGAGATCAAGCCCAGAGCTTTGCACATGCTGTGCAAGCAGTCTACCACTGAGCTACGTTCTCAACCTGTTCATTTTTATTTCTAGTTTTTAATTTTATTTTATGGATGTCTTGTCATTGAGTATGTCAGTCTACCATGTGTGTACCTGGTGCCCACCGAAGTCAGAAAAGGGCATTCAACACTCTGGAACTGGGGTTAAGATGTCGTGGGCACCATGTGGGTTCTTGGAATTGAACCCAGGTCTTCTGGAAAAGAAGCAAGTGCTCTTTACCTCTGGCCAACTCTCCAGCCTCAAAAGAGCATTTTTTTTTTAAAGTCTACTTTTAACTCTTTGGAGTACATACACTGGAGTCGGATTATTGGTTCACTTACTGTTTTTGAGTAGCTGACATACTGTTTTGCCTAGCTGCTGTGTGGCTTTGACGTACTGTTTTTGAGTAGCTGACATACTGTTTCACCTAGCCGCTGTGTGGTGTTGACTCCTTCAGGTGGTACCCAGGAGTTCCAGTTTGTTCACATCTGCACTAACACTTGTTTTCTATGAGGTTCCTCTTTTTAACGTATAAAATATTATCCTTCTGGATCTCAAGTAGTGTCTCCTTTTGGTTTGTATTTTCCCACTGACATTGAACACCTTTTTGTGTGTTTATTAACTATGTATTTATCATCTTTGGAGAAATGTGTTATTCACGTCCTTCCCTATTTATTTATTTATTTATTTATTTATTTTATTTGTATTTTTTAAGACAAGGTCTCATTATGTAGCCTGGCTAGCCTGCAACATGTTATGTATTCCAGGCTGGCCTAACTCAGAGATCTGCCTGCCTCTGCCTCCTAGGTGGTAGGATTAAAGGCATGTGCCACTTTGCCTGTTTTTAATTTTTTTGTGTTTAGTTATACTTTTTGTCCAGGTTTTAAAGGTTACTTAGGTAGGTAGGTCAATCAGAAATCCAGCTAACAAGAATACTGAGAGATTTGGTCTGGAAAATTCTTGAAACAAGTTACTTGCAAAAGCTATAGAAAAGTCTGGAGAATATGCCTGTGGTGATGAAAATATTGTGGAATTATTGATGAGAGTTCAGTTTTATGAATACATTGAAAACCACGGGATGTGTGATTAAAGTTTTGTTCCATCCTTGTCACTTGGTGTGGTGATGAAAGCCTGTGAATTCTGTCATCCTGGTAATAGAGGTAGGAGGATCAGAAATTAAAACATTATCCTCATTTTACAGGGAGTTGCAAGCCAGCCAGAAATACATGAAACTCTGTTGAAAAAAAAGAAAACAAATAATAATAGTTGATCTTGCAGTTAATGTAGCATCCCTAAGGTACAAAATGTGTCTCTAAGCCAGCCCACTTTCTGAGTTGCTTCAGTCAGCCAAATTGTATTGTCTGTTTGGCACCATGAATATAACAGTAAGCAAACAAAGTCCATGTCCTTGAGCATGTTCCCGTGGTAGGAGATGGTTATGGAGCACAGATCATTAGGGATGATGCACAGTACAACAGTCAAGCAAAACTACTGTTGCAAGTGTACAGTACTGAACAACCTAGCCTCCAAAGAGACCTGGGGCACCTGGGACAAAAATCATCGCTGCTGGAAGGAACAGCAGATGCAAAGCTTCTGTCCACGGGGCTGTGCTTGGTTTTTTGAGCTACAGCAAGAAGGCCAGAGTAGGAGGTTTGGGATGGCTCTCACTGAGAGCCTTTCAGCAGTAGTGAGGGCTTTCCATTTAGAAATCGCTAAGCTTTGGGGCATTAGTATAGATAAGACTTACATGTTAGGGACATGTCATAAATAATTACTTATGCTCGGTGATGGTGATGATGCACACCATTAATCCCAGCCATCAAGAGCAGAGCTGGGTGAATCTCTGAGTTCAAGGCCAGCCTTGAACTACAGACTGAGTTCTAGGAACAGCCAGGGCTATACAGAGAAACCCTTTCTCAAAAACATACATAGATACATAGATACATACATACACACACACACATATTTATATATACACACATATAAATTACATTAATTCTGATAGGAATTATATACAAAATAATCTCACATAGTGACAACATGTTCTCTGATTGCTTTGTTTTCCTCCAGAGAAACAGAAGGTCACATGTCTTAAGTGCTTTATGCCAGCCACATCTGCCTATTTCTTTTTCTTGTCCACCACCTGCTTATGAAAGAAGCTTCCTTCTCTTCTCTTGTTCTGCCTTTGGTGTCCCCATGTGGCACTGGTGGAGGTTTTTTGTTTGTTTGTTTGTTTGTTTTGTTTTATTATAAGAATGATAGCTAAAGATTTTAAATTTAAAATTAGAATAGAGTTCGCCAAAGTAATCCTAAAGATCATTCTTGATTCCCTTACCCCTGCTGAGTACATGAGATTTTAAAAAAAAATCTCACTTTTTTGGTTTGGTTGTTGGCTAATATATTTTAGTCATTGCTTTTGTACACCCATTTGAACAAGTTAATATGATTCATAATGTTTTGCTCTAAGGAAAGTTAATGTCTGGTTCTTTGGAGCTGAATTTTCAGAAAATTTAAGAATTATAACTTACTCAAATAGGCTTTCTTCTTCAAGACACTTTGATATCAGATAGAAATAACATCTAGAAGGCTTAACAACTTTGAAACAAGCTTTATTATACATTAGTTCTATACCCATGCATGTCTTAATGAATATATGAAATCCAAAAATACAGGAGTGATAGAAAGCTAACCTTGCAATTACTACCACGGATACAGCTTGAGTTATTGGTGTGGAGTAGCATCAGTTACTGGGCTCTCACCAGGAGTAGGGATGCTGTACTGCTTCCTCCTGTGCAGGTATACTAATATCTTTTTTTTGTCTAAAGCTTGCAAATACAGAAGAATACATAGATGGGGCGTTGTCTGGACATCTGGGCGAAGTTCTAATAAGGTAACAGGCTCATTTGTGTTTGTGTGTGAAAGGAGTTACTAACGCACCTCAGAAATCTCTGCTGAAGTAAATTAGTTTTTTAGTCTGGGGGATTACTTTAAAAAAAAAATTAGCAATACTCTACAACTAGACTTTAGAAGCCTTTGAAATTACTAACATACTGGAAGATTTCGGTTTATGTTCGAGGTTTTCCTTCTGTTGATCTATATTTACTGGCTCTCAGCTGTAGCCTGTTTCAGTGTCCTGGGTTACAGGAACTTAGGTTTGAATTTTAGTTGAGTCTAGCTGCTAAAGATTTCTGTTGTACACATTGTCTGGCACCAGCAACCACCTACATTCTAAGTCGTAGAGATGGAATTGTGGTGATGGTGGTAAAGATATGTGTGGTGTGCTTTTAAAACATCTGTGTAGAACTAACAGAAAGAGCAGCGAGCTGTGAGTTCAGGTCCAGTCTGACAGTAGAGTAGTGATGATTTGATCGTGCGTGGGTTCTGAGTGCAGCTCAGAATGACCGTGTTTTCTGTTACAGGTGTAATAATGTCCTCTACATCAGAGGCGTTGAAGAGGAGGAGGAAGATGGGGAAATGAGAGAATAGCATCTTGGGGGATTTTTTTTATATATATGTATTTCTATACAATAAAGTTTTGGGTTTTTTTTCAACTAGACTTGTGGACTATTTAAATGTAGACATGCAAAGCATAACTGTTGAAACAGTGGATGGATAATTCTTAGAACTAATGCTTTAAAAGCCACCCAGTTCCATTCAAGGGAACTCTTGTTTTGTAATCCCACTGCTGGTTTATTTCTTTTTTTCTATAAAGGTTGATTCTGTGCGTTACAATTTTTCTTAAGGTGAGTTTCAGCCCTTGCAATTCTATTAACTGAGACCTCTTAAAAGTAGCTGTGTTGTTTAAGGTTTCAAAACCACTTTAACATTCATAAAGTTAAACATTTTCTTAGTATTAATATATATTGTATTAATAAATTACATTATTTCTATATTGATATAGGCTCGATAATGTATATATTGTAGCTAAGTCAAAACATGAAAATTGAAATAATTATGGAGATAAGAGTATAATACAAAGTGATATTTAGGCTGAAGGTGTATGGTTTTGTTTACTTAAGAGTTTTCTGATAAGGTTCTCAGAGCTTAATTTGAAATAGGACCAGCCTCATGACTGTTCTTAGACCATAGTCCATTAGTTTTTAAGTTTTAAATGTGTCCAGTTGTTTTAAGAATAATACATTTTAAAAATATATATTCAAAGCTGTGAACTTCCTTATTGCTTTAGAAAATATGATGAAAATTCTCATGCTTTGAGGGAGGCCATTCTACTCTAAGTCCTACTTCATGTTAAATCAATAAATTAACTTGGATATATGTCTCCAACGGGGAAAACCTAAAGAACAATATTGCTTAGCTCATGGAATGGTACTAATGACTAATAAAGAGTTTCAGCAGAGAACAGTTGCCATTCCTACTCCTGTAAGCCTCGAGATAAAGGTCTACTACATTCCTGGAATTTGTTAGGACAGTAATGCATCACTGAAAGCCAACATCCTCATACAACATTTGCTAATAAAGCATCTTCATGATCCTGTTCAACTAAAAAAATACTCTTCCTCCTGTGATTTGGATCTTGTATCACCGACTAAAAGTAGCTCGTGTTTGCTAGCAGATTGAGGTTTCGAACGGTAGATAAGTCGTCTTCCCAACTGAAACAAGAAAAACAAAATAGTTTTCTTTTGCATAACCTTTCTTTCACAGTATGTATAATGTTAATATTTACTTGAGTTTTCACATGAACCAAATGTTTTAAACTAGTAAACACAGTTACAGGGGATTGGTATAACTAAGTAGATGTCCAACATGCTTGGCAAGTTGCCCATAGTATACAGGAGGCAACAGCTAGCTTTTATGGTCAGTAGAGAGGTTACAGAAAGTCACTAAGTAGCTTGTGGCTCAAATATGGCTGTCCCAGAAAGCAGTGTTAGATGCTAACACTGCATTCCTCAGTGCTGTACCTGGGTTTTCTTCCATGGTTGCAAGAGGGTGCTTTGTTGAGCCAATTTTGAAAAAACCATTTTAAACATCGGTGTTCTTGGGTGTTGGAGGTGTTTCCATCAGAAGGGTTAAGAAACCTGTAATTCATACCTGTCCCTTCTCTGGAGAGGATTCTCCCTTTGCTTTCTGTTTTGCAGTTACAGGTGAAGTTTCTGTAACTTAGGCATGTGAATAAGGGAAGTACCGTAGTCTGTTGTCATGAGATCCTCAGAAGGGACCGGACCTTTCTGGGAGGACAGTTCTCACATGGGACCTGAACGGGGACCTATTATAGTAGAAGACAAACCTTCTTCTTGGGTTGTGCCACCGCTCTTTCCAGAGCAGCTTTTAGCCGTTCCTCTTGGTGTCTCTGCTTTTCTTTCATCTTCTCTTCACGCAGCCTGTCATAGGTGAAGAGGAAAGTTATTAGAAATTCTATAATCATAATGAGTGAAACATCTACATTGATACTGTTCAGAAATGAACTATCCAAATATAAGATTTACATGATGATGGCTTTTGAATATTCAGGCAGTGGTCAGACATTTAATTTCAACATTTTGGAGAAATACCTCTTCCGTCGGTTCCCGCTGAGGCACTTTCTATACCCTAGCCACTTCTGCTCCCAGCCACCTCTTGACCTGCCCTTAAAGTTTCTTTAAGGGAAGTGTGCACATCACCTTAGTGGACTGCCACAAACTAGTCAGATCATTTTTCTACCTTTTAGTGTAAGCATTGGCAGTGAGTGGCTCTTATGGACCTGTGTAGTGTTGTCAGGGAATGGTAGTGTCTGAACACTTTTTGTGAAGAACTGGGTGCTTTGTTAGGTACTATTAAACAAAGCGGCTCTCAACCTGTGGGTCTCAACCCCTTTACAGTTGAATGACCTTTTCTCACACATCGGATGTCCTGCATCATACTGGATACTTACATTATTCGTCATAACTAGCAAAATTACAGTTATAAAGTAGCAATGAAAATAATTTTATGGTTGGGGTCACCACAATGTGAAGATCTATAAAGTCTTGGATCATTAGGAAGGTTTAGAACCACCACTCAAACCTTGGAGAAAAGGTTCCTTTGAAAACTGGAACTGAACGCATATAACTGTTGACAACAAATTTCAACAGCACTCCCTGGTGCTGTGAGAAACCTGAGCTCATTTGGAAGGAGCCATCCTCAGCTTCGATAAGTCTGCTCAGTGTCCTATAAGAGCTGTCTGAGTCACCTTCATTTTTACATGAGAGAAATAATATCCTCCATGCATCAGTGATGTAACAATATTAGTGGCTAGTGTCTTTCAAACATGATCAGTGATTTCACATTGTTAATTTGATACATCATCCCTATGAAGTAATTATCATAGCTTGTGACTTTATTTTTTCTTTAAACACAGTGAAATAGACTAGACAGGTGGTCCCTCCTGTAGGTTACAGTAGCTGTAGCTAAAAGAGCAAGCAGTCAAGCCCATGCCCACGCCTGGAGCCACAGGGCTCTCTGCCTCTATAGTTCCCTCTGCTAGAACGTGAATGTCATCAGCGTTGCCTACATGTCATGTGGTAGTAACCATGTTACAGTGATACAAAAGGCCTGTAAAGCTCTTCATTTGTAGAAATCTGTAGGGGTGAGGTGTCAGGGATGACAGTCATGTAAGGTCTGTGGAAATAAATGAGTGGGGGTGTGAGTGCCAGGTAAACGTCACATAGTGTCACCTAAGAGTTGCCATTCCTTTATAAGCCAGGTCACCCGTGGTCATCTAAGGACAGACCCTTCAACACATGACAGCCCCTAAGAAATGTTCTGTGACTTGAGACCCCCTCCTTCCCCTATAGCCATCCTAATTGGGTCACTTGTTTCTGGTAAACTTTGTATTTGCCCAGCTCCTTTGGGTCACAGTGCCCATTACCTATAGTAACAATAGCACTTATTTCCTAAGAACATTCTGTGGGAGGGCAGGGCATCCCCATTCTGCAATGCGTGCCATAGAGAATTGCTGGCAATGGAGTGGGGTTTATGCAAACTAGCCACGTTAGCCATTCACTACACTGAGGAGACTGTCACAGTACTTTTGCCGTCGCTCCTTCTGTTTGATCCTTTCGATTGCTTCCACACTTTCTTTGGGAATAGATTCAATGAGGTCGCTCAGCTCCACCAGGCGGGACTCGACTTTGACCAGTTTTTGAACTGCATTCAGGCTGCCAACCTCAGCATCTCCAATGCAGACTCTGTATACTTGATTAATCTTTCTACTAAGTGAGTCTATCAGCTTTTCCTGAGCGCAAGAAAAAAAAGCAGAAAATGTTCCATCACTATATGGTGGCTCACTGTCAGTAAATGCAAAATTCCATCCTACTGTTACAAGAAGAAAGCTCTTTAAGCATCATCACCACCACCATCATCATCATCATTTAGTGCTGGGGATAGAACCCAGGACCTAATGCATGGTAAGCAAATGTTCTACCACTGGGCTACACACCCTACCTGCTCCCTACATGCTTCAAAAGACAAATCCGTGAGAACAGGTAGCAGGGGATGTTTGTGTTAATAGTTTATAGTCAGATCATTATTACAGTGACACCTTGGATTGTATTCAAATATGTACAGTATCTATAAGTATGTGAATAAAAGTAATTGTAAGATAGTATCTTTTGGCTTGAATGTCGACCAGATGCCCTAATTGTTCCAAGTGCAGACAACATACACATTTCAAACCACTTTGCACCACCAATGGCATAATGTGTGCCCCCCGCCCCATTTTTATTGTAAATGCCTATAATGCTACATGACAGGTATTTGCAGATGTGCCGAGTCCCCTTCTTGAGAGGGGACTGGAGGGCAGGGACTACTGCTTATGTTACTGTGCACACCTAAAACAGTGTCTTGCACCTAGCTACACACTTAATAAATGTTTGCTGAATAAATGAGTGCTTTCTTTCAGAGAAATGTGTGTACAAGCAGATTCCTAGGCTGACCAAACAGCCTTCAAGGAGTTTACTTTTTGAGATCTCCACAGGGAAGCCATTGTTGTAAGTCTAATCTAAAGAAAATTTAGGCCGAAGCCTGCCAATCCCTGTACCTCGACACTTCGATGTTTTACTTGATTTTGCAGTCTCTTGAGCTGGTAGATAATATATTTCGGGAGATGAAAGGTGCCATCCTTTTTCGCCACTGGCTGTCTGATATTCGTCAAGAGGAACTCAATAAACTTCTCAGCAAAGTAAATGGATTTCCATGTAGGTTCATGCCTGATGGTTAGCCGCTTCTGCTCAAGAAGATGAGAATCACCATAAAGTGAAGAAAAACACACCCAAGGCCGATGTGACTCCCGCCACTGGGGAGACCATCCTGGAACCATAAAGGCCACACGGCTGCCATCACTTAAAGCCAAGGTCTGCGACTTCAGCAGCTTGTTCTCCCACCTCTTGCTTTAACAGATGTGCCAGAGATCCTGTTTATTACAGAGCTCCTAGTTTCTCACTCTTGAAATACTTTATTTTCATTTATATTAAAAGAACAGTCCTTTTTAAAAAAAACTTAGAGAAATATAAAATAACACAAAAGGAAACCATAAGCTCGCCACGAAGCCTCTAGCATACCGCTTTCTTTGTTTCCTATTTACAGACCTCCACATTTCTTCTTAGAGACAGCTAGAGGACAGACAGATGTAAAAAGGGAAGAAAGTGGAAGTACCCCACCAAGGGGGCAACACACTACATATTAAAGAGAAGAAGAAGAAGATTCAGAATCTTGATAGAAGATGTGGCTCGTGTCTATAATTCTAACACATGGGCTGGGACACTGATTGCCACAAGTCTGGGGCAACTTGAGCTAGGCCAGCTGGGTTGTATTTTTTCTTGAAAGAAGAAAAAATTATCTTGTCCTAACATACATAGAAATTTCAAGTACTTAATGCTTGTTTTAAGAAAAACTGGTAGGAACAAGTCCTTTTGGGTGGAAAGAGACTTGAACACAGAGTTAGGGATGGATAGATGAAAACTTTCGATGGTGTGGTTTCTCTTTTTCTTCTTTTTTTGTCTTTTAAGAACCCTCATCAAACAGAGAACTACAAGTCAAAAATAGATTAAGAACTAAGAGAAGGAAATGAAAGATGGTGTACTATGAAAATGAGATTGAGTTCCTGGTCTAAGACAGCTAAAGGGCAAAGAAAAAAGCATTCCAGAATAAGGCCAACTAGGGACAGCAGAGATGTGCAAGTGGGTCCTTTAAACTGCCACTAGAGGGCGGGCTCAGACCGGAGCTACTCAAATAGGAGGCCCTGACAGCAGGCTGAGTTGACCAGTGGGCAGGAAGATGGATCCAAGACTGGGTACCAGAGTAACTTAGGTGTCTGTCAACAGTGAATGGGACCTGATGGGACCAGAGCAGTGTTTCAAACTGGAGAGTTGTTTGGATGTATGCGTGTCATCATGTGTTGATCTTTCCATTACGATTCAAAACAGTAGCAAAATTACAGTTGTGAAGTAGCAACGGAAATAACTTTATGGTTGGAGGTCACCACACCATGAGGAACTGCATTAAAGGGTCGCAGCGTTAGGAAGGTTGAGAACTGCTTCAGTCCTAGCCTAGCACGGGTGTGAGGCAGCCCAGAACTGCATGAAACTGGGTGTGGTGGTATGTGCTTGTAATCCCAGCCTCAGAGGGCAGGTGCAAGAGAACATCAAGGTCCTCCTCAGCCACACAGTGAGCTTGAAGCCAGCTTTGGGTAATGAGAATCTGCCTAACAACCACCCTCAAAACAAAACACTTATAATTTTTCCATTTTTTTTTCCTCCCTCCATACTCTACCCTTCATATTCTTGGAAGATCATAAGTCATTAACCCCATGCTCCAGAGTGTGCCTGTAAATTGTACAGATTTATACTTGTGATTGTTAGTTTATGGACATCTTGAGGAACTTTTAAATCAATTCTGGGTTCTCTGGGCATTGAGCCCTGGTCCTTTCACAAACTAGATTCTCCCTTCTCTTGGTTGACTCAATGTTTAAAAGTATTGAAGATGCCTCCCCCCTCCATAGCTGCCCTAAAACTGGAGATTAAAGTGATTTGGTTGTGGTGTGGAGACCATTAAATAGCAAAGAGAATTTGTCTTTTATTTGACACGGTGGTCGGCTTCAGAGTTATTTAAGGGTTGGATAGAAACAATACACAAGTCCATCAGATGGATGTCAGTCAGTACAGTAAATAAAATATGGTGCATAGGATGGGGTATCATTCAACAAGATACACGCCACGGCGTGGAGGAACCCAGAGAACGTTACACTGTGTGACACAAACTAGACGTTAAAAGACACATACTGCTCAACTGCACTCCTATGAGCTGTGGAGAAGAGTAGAATCCAGAGACAAAGAAGCAGATGATGAGCATCGAAGAGACCGGGAGCCTGTGCTGAATGAGTATGCACGGGGAGCCTGTGCTGAATGAGTATGCACGGGAGCTTGTGCTGAATGAGTAT